GCAGCCTGTTGTGTTTCATTGAGCTCCATGTCTACCAGTATGCTGGTGCTGTGCTCTTTAGGTTATAGTAGAAGTCAGTATTGATACATTTTAATCAGCTGCCAGAGACGAGCTTGAAACCACACTGAACAGGCTATAAAATATTCTAGAATTGGCTTATGAATTGGCTACTGATTAAACTGTGAGTCTGTCCCAGGCCTATGTGACTTGCTAGATGAGCCTTCGGCTGGTGTGCAGAAGCAGGGCTCCCTATGCCGTCAGCCATAGCTGAGGCCTCAATGGTCAGTGACACTGTGATGCCCCTGATAGCAAGAAAACACGGCCGCTGAGGACTTATGATTCTTCTGCAGCTCTTCTCCCAGAGCAAATGTTGGCTAAGGAGAGCAAACGGGTGCCTTGTTAATCCGGACCATCTTTCACAGGAATGCAGGATTCCTCCTTACAAGCTTAGCTCACATCAGCGCCTCCGCCCTGCAGTTCCCTTCATTTGCCTCTGCCCCTGTGATGCTGTGTGATCAGTAAATAGTTGCAAGTCTGGAGCACTGCGGTCTCAGCCTTGCAAGAGCTCTGGTGGCCCCACCCCTGTCATGCAGTCAGACCTTGGACTTGTCTTATTCTTATGCTGGCTGTTCCCTCAGTCAGCTGGCCGGGGACCACACAGCCCCTGGTAAGGTTTGACAATTGTCAGTCAGGGGTTGCAAAGGGACAGATTTAATATAGGACACAAAATTTATAGGATTATTTTATAATACTCACCCAAAAAGTCAAATGCAGAGGAGCACAGAGATGTCTGCAGATCCAAAGAGTCCAGCAGGGCAGTGCCCGTGAGTCCCATTGTAAGGTGGGGCATCCGCAGTGGAAGACTGAGGGTTTGCACCTCTGCACCTCGAGCCCAGGGCTGGGCTGAAGGCCAGGGAGTGTGAGAGCCAGGAGGTGACACCCGGGGAAGGGGCAGCCTGGAGCTCCTCCAGAGAGAGCAGCCGAAGCCCAGCATTCTCTGGCCCTCGAGGCGGGAGGTGGCCGAGGGGAGATGCTGGCAGCCCCTTAGTGAACCGGGGTGAGGCTGGGACTCTGGAGCAGGCCCTTCCCAGGGAAGTCAGCTGGGATCCTCTTCTTCCTGCTCTGACCGCAGGCCTGGGGAGGACCTTTGGCTTCTCTGTGCTGACTCCATTGGGCTGGCCGTCCTGCTCGGCTGACCAGTAGTTGATCCACTTCGAGGGTCGTTAACTACACAGCACCAGATGGGTCAGGAGGAGTAGCGTAATCTAAGTTCAGATCTTTAAATAAAGCCGGACGACTTTCAAATAACAGGCAACGTGGCTATTCACCAGGACTACGATGAGTCTGTAGATCAGTTTAGGAATTATTATGATTGTGCTAACAATATTCAGTCCATGAAGCACAGCTCTCTTCCCATTTATTTATGTCTCCTTTAACTTCTTTAAACAATGCTTTATAGTTTTTGGTATGTAAGTCTTCTATTCATTAGTTAAATTTATTTGTAGGTGGTTTGTGCTATTATAAATGTGTGCTCTTTAATTTCATTTTAAATACACTATTTCAGAGTACAGAAATAAAATTGATTTTCACATACTGATCCTGTACCTTAATCCTGCTGTTCTCATGTATTAGATCTAATGTGTGTGTGTGTGTGTGTGTGTGTGCGTGTGTGTGTGTTCTCTAGGGTTTTCTATTTACAAGACTATGTCATTTGCTAATAAAGACACAGTAGTTTTTCTTCCTTTCCAGCCCGGATGACTTTTAGATCTCTTTCTTGCCTAACTGCCTGGACTGCTACCTCCAGAAACATGTGGAGTAGGTGTGGCCAGCAGGGCCCTCCTCCCTGCTCTTCTGGACACCGAATGGGGCCTCCCTTGAGAGTTTTCGCGGTGTCTCGCCTGGCCCAGGGAGCCCCCTTCATTCTTTGGGCGACTCCACGGGCCGAGGCTCCTGGAAGCATAGGCCTGGCTCCCTCTGGCCCGCGCTCCACCTGCCTTTTCCTTCAGTGGATTCGCCCGGAGCCTTTGTCATGGTGACCCACATGGCCAAGCTCGCCTGCAGGCCGGGCCCTGGGGGTCACCCTGTGCGCTGTGGCCTGGGGTCTGCAGAACTCCCTTGGGTCTGGGGACCCTGCCGGTGCCGGCCGACACCCCCGGGAGTAGCAGGCAAGGTGCAGGTGGAGTTGCTTGCGATGAGTGCCAGGCGCGCAGCATATCACTGAGATTCAGCTGAGCTCCGCGAGCTCCTGCAACATTCCCGGCCGGGCAGCGGCCGTGCGCCTGTGCAGGAGCGGGTCTCGAGAGCGCCTCACCCCTGCTCTCTGAAGTCCTGCCTCCCGTCACGTCATCGCCAACTGGAATGCCACAGACCATCTACTTCCGAGTAAGGTAAACCCTGCGTTTCTCAGCATGACCCCCGCAGCCTCTGCACTCGGCCCCCCCGCAGAGCCTGTCCGAGACCTCACAGGGTCCCTGTGGCTCCTGGAGGGGACTCGGCGCTGCTCCCTCGCAAACCTGCTCCTCCTGGTTTGCAGAGCCACACACTCGTGGGCCTTCGCACGTCAGCAGGGAAAGAAGGCCCCACGGTCTCCTCTGCTGACCTCGGCTTTACCACCCTTTCTCACCTATGAAATGGGCTACAGTGTGAAGAAACGAATCACATTCTCTTATTCTAATTTCATGCAGATATTCACAGGCGCCGTCCTCGGCTGCAGTTGGCACAAGGCCCGACGGAGCGAGGGACGCTTCTCATTCCCCAAGCAGTGGCGGGGTGTGACTCGGTCGGGGGGGGCACCGGGAGGAAGAGCTGCGCCCTCTGGGGAGCCCCCTCTTCCCGGGAGCCGCGTGCTGGTCCGGCAACACGGCCAGGCGAGGCTGCCGTCACGCGGGGCCAGGAGCGTGAAATCCTAGCGCAGGTCACGCAGACAGAGCTGCTGCAGCGTCCTTCCGGCTCAGAGCCCGCGCTTGCTTGGGGACAAACTTCTCACAGTGAAGGGCGGAGGGTCAGCGAAGCGCCTGCTACCACCACAGGACTGTTCACTTTCCAGCTAAAAACCCATAAAGGCAGCTCGAAAGGGAGGACAGAGGAGATAAAGGAAACCCTTCCTGAAATTTCTGCTTAGCCGTCTAAAACTCGCCCTGCAGGCTCTGGTCACGAATGTTGGTGGGACAATAGGTGGGAACAAAGCTGGTCCATTCCCCACAAGTGCACTCCACGCCAACCTAAGCCCTCCGCCACCCTGCGACAGCGGCTGCCTTGTCTGGGAGAACAGCTCGTCCTGCTGAGGTGAAAGACAAGGATCTGCCAAGTGCGCAGAGAGGGACTCGCGCTGCGGCGGGAGCCAGGCGAGCCGGGGAAAGGGTCTGCAGCGGCCGGCCCGGTGGGCGTGAGGCCGGCAGCTCTGGAAGGCTCGTGGCTCCTTGTTAGTCAGCCAGCCCCATGCCCATCACCCACTGAGCCTGTGCACCCCAAAGCCCTGCTGCTCGCTGCAGACTGTGTCCACACCCTCCCTCCGCGCTGCGGCCAGTTCGATTCCTCCATGTTGGCAGAGAATGCTTTTCCGCAGGTGTTGGTGGATTGGTGGATTCGTGGGAGGAGGCCTCTCTCCTGGAGATGCTGCAAGGTGGTGCACACATCTCGGTGCTGCCCCTCCCCAAAGCCTGGGACTTGGCCGCTCTTTTCCCATCTATAAAATGGGCGAATTCGCTATTGCCCTGAAGATTTTAAACAGAGTCCAAATTTCTACCCAGATGCCTCACGTGTGCCATGTGCTCCGGCTGCTCCGTCCATGCCTTTGTTCCCATCACAGCTGCATGCCACACGAGATCCGAGGTCCCAGGGGTACCGAGTTGTGCAAAAGACTTGCAGGAGACCACTGGCAGCCTAAGGCGATGAAATCCATCAGGCAGCTGGGACCCCATCCTTCATTGGCTTTAGTCACGACCCTTCACCTCCAGGGGGTGGTGGTGCTGAAGGAAGCTGGGAAAATTGTGTATTTCCAGGAGGACATGAAATAATAGATGATTCACCCCACGCACTTTTCAGCTTGCGAAGAATTTCTGGGTGTATGGTTTCACTGGCTTCTCCCCAAGGTATCAGGAGTCAGATGTTCTTATCACCATTTTACAAATGAGTTGATTGGCATTGAGGTAAAGGTGGTAAGACACAACATTTTTAGAACAAAACACTTGGGTGGGTGACCAAGTTTTCTATGAATGGAAAGAGGCAGTCGCTTTCCAGCAGTTAGCAGGAGGAAGGCTTGGACTCGGGTGGCTACTCTGGGGACAGGTGCTCCAGACACGTCTGTTCTTGACGGCGAAGGACAGACTTGGTGACTTGCTACCCTGAACATCAAGTGTGGTTTCAGGAGAACTTGCACTCCCGTTCCTATTGCTCTGGAGATTTCTAATGAACACACGTCACATTTGATGGTGAGTTTGTACATATTATCATAGCTGGCATACAAAAAAGACTTCTGGAATAATAAGGAATTTGGAATGGCATAAAGGTCTGTATTTTATTGACAATTTCACTTTAGTTCATTTTTAATGATTCCAATCCATGAATTGAAGAGCTATGTTTTTTCAGCACATCATCAGTCATTTTCTTTCAACTCTAAAACATTTTGAGCCTCTGGTGTATTATTTTTAAATCTAGGTTTTACAGTACTGGAAGGCCTTTTATTCTTTTGTCTATGCATTGTTTGGTTATGACTGATATTTATGTGGTTTGTTTCCAATGAAAACAAGAGGTGAATGATAATAATACTTATTCATCACAACCACTTTCATAGGTGTGGAACACCTTCAAAAAGAAAATACTGAAGAATCAAGACACACGAGTTCAAGACAAAAACTTAAAAGTAATTTATGAAAGCCTGAATATGGGGAAATAATACAAATTAATATGAATATTTCAGTTATAGTTTTTATACTAGTAATTGAGTTATTTGGAAAATTATTCATGATATATTCTTTAATGTGAAAATGATACATACAGAATGCAGAGGGCTATACACAAAGAAAAGTTTAAAATGAACTTAAAAGAGCGCTTTCTTCTTCCCTAGGAATAAAGATGAAATTGTCCTCTAGTTCACCTTGGAGAAAATGCATCTTGATTTTTCAGTCTGGCTTTTGCTAAACGATGGGAACGCCCACTTGCTACACTGTTGTCTCCGGTAACCAGTAACCCTGCCCAGAACACTGGCTGAAGATAAACATAATGGAGGCGGCACGGAGACAGGATATTTCCTGGTGGAATTCCAGGCTTGCCCTGTGTGCAACGCAAATCCTGTGCTCAGCTGGCAAGGTTGCGAAGGTCTTTCTTCCATGCCAGGTTGGTCTGATAATCCATGCCATGTTTTGACATACTTTGTGTATTACAACTCATACACTTTTGCTTCTATGGCAACTGATAGCTTTGTAAACTGGCTTTTGAGGCCCTAGGGAAAGAAATACATTGGCAGAGTGCTTAGGGTTTCATTTTTCTGTAAAACAGAAAAAGCAAGATACTCTGGGGCTGGCTCTGATGATCGGACAAGAGATTATGTAATTACCCTCGACGTGCAGCTTCTACGGAGCCAAGAAATGGCTTTAACTCTTCAGAAGGCCCATGTTGACTTCAAACAACTTCAAATGTAAAAATTTATCTTCTTCTTTTAATAGAACAAGGGTATTTTTAGTATAACACATCCATGTGCAGCATATATGTTGTCTCAGCCCCAGTGTGAAAAGGAAGAATTGCGATTTTGAGTACCCCAAGGATTTTAGTTTGCAGCCTTCTGATTTAGTGATACAAAAATAATTAGATTGTTTTAAAAAATCTTGACTTTCCTAAATCTATCTCTCCAAGAGAAAATTAAATTAAATATCTGGATGTTTTGGTTAAAGCTTTCAGTTTTCTTAACTGGTTAAGGATTTCCATTAAAATAGGTCAAAGGTTGCTGATCTGTGATCTGCGATCCCACTTTAGCCACTGATATTTTCTAAGTATTTTGAGGTAGGAGTGACATTTATTTTTAAATGATTGGAAAAGAGTTAAATATTAATATTTCCTAACACATTAAAAACTACCTGATCTCAAGTGTTAATGGCCACAGGCAAAGTTGGATGAGAGGATGGCCAGCTCCATTCACTGCCCAGGGGCGGTGAATGACCCAGGGGCGGCTGCTTCACAGCTGCAGACCGGAGCATCTGGACAGATGGCAGATAGCTCAGAGTGGACACATCCGGCCCGTCCACCACAGAGAATCTGTGACCTTTGAGATGGAGTTCGTGTTCGGATCAGAGTTGGGCTTTTGGAAGGTGAGTGGAGCTGAGGGAACAAACAGTGGACGAGGAGGTGAGGCCTCGCTGAGGACGTGGGTCAGGGAAGGGTCTCCCTCTCTGTCTCTGTCTCTGGAAGGTCGTGCCTCTCTCCGGAAGGGTGTGTTTCTCTCCGGAAGGGTGTCCCTGAACGCCGTCTTTTTCGTTCTCTGCTTTCTGGCTGCCATGAGGTGAGCAGCTGTGGTCTACACACCCTTTCACCATGACGTTCCTCCCCACCTCAGCCCCGAAGCCGTGGAGCCAGCTGACAATGGACTGAACCCTCCCCAGCAGTGAACCAAAACTCTTCTTTCTTCCTTATGGTGTTTTCTGAGGTGTTTGGTCACAGCCCTAAAAAGTTAACACAAGAAGATGGTTACCTCTGTAAATCTCAGATGACTGTTAAGATGCACACACTCATACTCATTCACAATGCATTCTGGGTGTACACCCTGCTAAAAGATGTTCATTCCAAATACTGTGATTTTTGAGAACTATCATTTTGTATTTTGAATAGTCTTTACCTTTACAAGTTTTTAAATTATTAGGAAAACGGCGCTGGGGATTTAGCTCAGTGGTTCTGCCTCCTGCACCAAAAGTGCAAGGTCCTGAGTTCGATCCCCAGTACCAAAAACAAAACAAAACAAAACAAAAAACCCCCAAATTATTAGGAAAACCATTTCCTATCTTTGCCATTAATTTCAAGGCAGTTTTTTTAGAAATGGAGAGCAGCAGACTGTACATATAAACCTACGATGGGTGGGGTGTAGACCTGGTTCTCACCTGGCGGACGGACGAACGGAGACAGCACTGTGCCCTTTGGCCGGCAGTGGGCTGGGACGCAGATGTAGCCACCACTGTGGTTGGGACTATTATGTAGAGTGGTTTGCTGGATCATTTTTGAAAAATGATGGAATCCACCATTAATTTAATTCTAATGATGCATATATCTTGCTTGGAAATCTATTTACCTGTTGTTTGACAGTCTAGGGCCTCATTGGCCTATCTCGGTGGGATGGAGGTGTGTCTGGCACTTCACACTCCACCCGCTGTGCCAGAGAGTGCTCAGCGGGGAGCACCGGGAGCCAGCAGAGCTCTGGGCGGATGAGGAGGAAGAGGCCTGGATGTGGCCAGCTCATTCTCGGCCTCTCCAGCTCCAGCCTCCTTGTGCTGCTGTTGCCAACTCCATGCCTTTGAACTCTGCCAGATTCACCTGCCACAGCTCCCTCCTGACTGCTGCAGACTGGCCTGGCATGGGCAGGGGTCCGCCCTGGACTGGGAAGCCAACGGAGGGTGTCCTGGCAGCTGCTGCACCCAGGGCAGAGGCCGTGCCCACTGAGCCCTGGCAGCAGAGATGGGCAAGCTCCAGCAGGGCCTTGCGGGTCTTCGTGGTCCTTGGCAGTTCCCACTGTACGTGGGTGTCTCTGTGGCATCCCCTTTGTTCACAGTGGGAATCCCACAGTGTGCAGCGAGGCCCAGTTCCCCGAAGGAGCACAGGGATGCGTGAAGGTCCTGAGGACCCACTCCCATGCAGTGTCCACCCCAGGGAGCATGTGTCAGTGCCGTGGACCTTCACCGCTGCTCGCTCTGCTAATGCTTTCCCTGCCTCATCCCAACCCGTGGATGAGTCTTCCTGCTTTTCCCATTCCAGAGGAAAGGAAAACTGAAGCGGAAGGAATGGAGCTTGCAGTCCTATGGCCTCGTTCTGAGGGAGGAGGCCGGAAGTCAGTAGCAGCAACTGGACTCCACGCCCAGCTGTCAGTCACTGCTGATCTTTGCTGACAGGCTTTGCAGAGCTCCAATGAAAAGCTCCATCTTCAGATCTCAGTTTTGCCGAAACTCACAACCCCACAGAGAATTCAGGAGCACTTATGGAGCACCTGGCACACAGTGTGTCCTAGATGAGCGTGACACCAGTGCTCTCCGCCTAAATGATGCAAGCATGTACTTTGCCACTCTGTGTTTGTGAGAGAGAACTGTGCTCCTATTTGAGGCTGCGAGTTCCTTTCTCTCTCTCTCGCTCTCCGTCTTTCTGCAGCTCTGTTTCATTGTATTTAAAACATAGTTTAGAGAAGATTTGAAGAAACACATAGGCACTTAGAACAAAGGTATGAAATGACAAGGAATAATTGTGTAGTTTCCGAAATATTTAAAATAGAACTTGTGTTTTTAAAGTATAATCCCACAGCATGAGAATCATGACACCTGAAATTCAGAAGGAACCCTTTCTAGTTCACAGAGGAGCAGAGAGGGCCGTTGTGTGCTGCAGGGAGGGCACAGGTGAGCCGCAGGGACCCCTAGACCCAGCCATGCTGGGGCGGGCTGGCAGGAGGACCCTGAGGCCTCTGGCATGGGTGGCCTCGGCTTCAGCGTGGGGAGGAGCTGCCCCATGGGGCCTCTGTGGTGCAGGAACTCAGCAGAAGCCTCCAGGTTCTGAAGTAAGTCCCCGCTGGAGCAGTCTCTGCTTTAAAGTTCTCACTTTTGTCAGTCCACGTCTGCAGTACACAGGATCACATTCCTCGTGGGAAGTGGCTCGTGCACGTAATACTCATCGTTCTTTCTAGTCCCCTCTGCCTCCCTCTGCTCTCCTTCCCATGACACCCCAGAAATAAGCAGTGGGGACTCAGGGCACCCGCCTGGAGGGAAGGCTTGGTGAGCCCTGGGCACCGTTCTCCCCGACTCTGGACAGCAGGGCTGGCCTCGGCTGACCTGTGTGCTCCTGTTTCTCCCTGGGACGTCCTGGCCATGGAGGCCACTGCCCGGGGGACAGGCCTGAGAGGGTGAGCCCTGCTGTGGGCCGTCCTGGGGCTCCCAGTGGCTCCTGGGCCTCAGGGTCCACCCCACCAGAGATCCGACGGCCAGGCTGCCCCACATTGGGGTGCCAGTGTCCTGCTTTCTCATTGGCAGGTGCAGGATCTGGGGTACTGAGGAGGCCGGGCGGGGTGTGGCTGTCAGGGTACTTCACCCGTCCCAGGAAACAGAGGCCTCTGTCACCGTGTCCCTGGGTGGCGCCAGGTGGGCAGTACCCCGTGAGGAGCAGAGTGCCCACTCCCACTGCTGCCTGAGCACCTAGGCAGGAAGAACGCACCAGGGTGAATTCGAGGAGATGCCCGTCCAGGGGAGCTGCTTAGGAGCCGGGGAGGGCGGGTAAGAAATGGTGGCTCTCGAGGGCAGCCAGTCTGGGCACGCGGAGGGCCAGGGACGCCCAGTGCTGATGGCTGGCACCGCCTGTGCTCTCTCCTCTGCCGCCCGCGTCCTGGAGCCCTGCAGCTGTCCTCGCCCGCACACGTGGAAGGAGGCCCCGTGCCTCACTCTGCTCAGGCTTCCGGACGGAGGCCCTGGTTCTGCGGGCTGTGACTCGGCTCTGTCCACTGGGCCCTCACTCGGCCGACGCTCTGGTGGCTCCTGGGTCCCCTGGGTGGGGGTGTGCTGTCTGTCCTCCTCCCGGGGAAGGCTTCCCCTCCCCTCCCAGAACTGCTCCTGGGGACCAGGCCCTCAGTGCATGGCGCTGGCTCGGCCATCCTAACGCGGCAGCCGAGAGACCCTGCCCCACCACTCGAGCCCTGAGCCTGGGCCTCCCCCCGCTGTCTGCTCTCTGGGCCTGCAGCTGTTGAAGGCTTTGGCACAGTGGGCCAGGCCTGGAAGGCCCTCAGAACACCAGGCCTCAGCACTGGTGCAGTACATGCCCTACTCCTCGGCACATAGCACTGCATGGTCTTGCTGAGCCCTGAGCATTTGGGGTAAGGATGAGATCGTATTCAAAGCAAGTAATTTGCTAGTAAGTGTAACTATGGACTTTGTTTTATTTAGTGTTTCTAGAACTTATTTGAATGTAGATGATTTTTCTTCTCACAAAATCCCTGTGTAATTTGGAAGATGATGCAAAATAAAAAGTGAAGTACACAACACCTTATCACCTGTGCGTGTACAAGGAAAGAAACTGTACATCTGTCTGCACCCAGGAGTGAGCCCGGGAGTGCACGAGACATGTGCCAAGACTCGTGCACCCGCTAGGTGGGCAGAGAGTCAGCAGTGCTCTGACGCGTGCCCAGGAAGGGTGGGTGGACAGTGCCCTGACCAGCGGGCAACACATCCCAGCCCTCGGGAGGCCGAGCCCACAGCCAGCCGTCCTGGTGAGGGTGCAGCAGGACCGCAGCTCCAGTCTGTGTTCCCGCCCTGGCCAGCCAGGAAACCCAGGGCTTCTGTTTTGGTTTTGGCTTTCATGTCAGTGCGTGTTCGTGTGCACAGCAACTGTGTTCCACAGAAGCTGGCACCTGGACGTCCACATCTTAATCCTCCTCGAATCCCTTGGTCTTCTTCCCTCCTGCAAAAGACTGATCTCCCTGTTCTGTGCTATCCACCCCTCACTTTGCTTTGTAATTTCTTCCTACTTCGGGGTTCTCATGCTTTTGTCTGATGTGTTTCACTTAGCATTATGGCCTTGGCTGGGGATGTAGCTCAGTGGTTTCACCACCTGCTTCGCAAGTGCAAGGACCCAAGTTTGATCTCCAGTACCAAAAAAAAAAAGCATTATGGCCTCAAGGTGTGTCCGTTTTCCCAAGGAGTCAAGTTTATGGCCAAGTAGTACTCCACTGTGTGTAAATACATTTTCTCTATCCGTCTATCTGTTGGTGGACAGATAGGCTGCTTCCAAGATTTAGCTACTATGAACTGTGCTGTAAACATGGATGTGTGTGTGTCACTGTAATATGATGAGTAGCTCCTTGGGGAAGACACTTAGAAGGGAAATAGCTGGGTTGAATGGAATTTCCACGTTTAGTTTTTTGAGGAATCTCCCTACTGATTTCCACAGGGAAACACAGGAGCCTCTGAACGCAAAGGCCTGGGCTTCCTCTCACCTGAGCCTGGAGTGGCAGTGCGCAGTGACCCGTGCGCTCCACTTTCTCCACACTTTTCTTGGCGGGCTGCAGGGACACCAAGCTGGAGGCTGTGGATGTGGCCAGGCCCTGCTTGGGGTGTGCGATGGGGACCGGCAGCCAGGCCCTCCTCCCTCCGCCTCGCGCGGTGGGCCAGAGCTGCTACTCTCCAGAATGACCTCTTAAGCAGAGTCTCTCAGAACAAACCATCCCATTGGTGGACACATGGAGAGATGCCGAGGGATCTCGTTCCCATTTTATATTGGAGATTTTGAAAAATCAGTCAAGTAAAAAACTCAGGAAAGTTACTTCTGACCACAGTGGAAGAAAAATAGAACTCATATTTATCTTAATTTTGTTTTATGGCACTACAAATTTTAAAGTGAATAATCAAATAATTTAAAAATAACACAGCAAAATAGAAGAGTATTTTTCAGTGGTATCCAGTGGCCTGGCACCCAAAGACAGGCACCCCTCCCTGTCCTGCATGTGTGTGTGTGTGTGTGTGTGTGTGTGTGTGTGTGTGAATGTCTAAACGTGTGTGTCTAATGTGTCTAAACATGTACATGTGTGTCTAGATGCGCGTGTGTGTGCGTGTGTGTCTAACATGTGTCTAAATGCGTGGTCACTGTGAAACCTCCTTGCACCCACACTCCCACTCCGCAGTTAAAGATCTCTGCTGGGAGCAGCATCTTCAGGTCCCGTCCTCATGTGTAAAATAAGGTTATAGAAATATAAAAAAATGCAAACCCCCACAAACACATGGAAACTGAGTAACACCCTCCTGAACAACCAATGGGTCACAGAGGAAATTAAAGAAGAAATTAGGCAATTTCTACAAGTAAATGATAATGTCAGTACAACATACAGGAATCTGTGGGACACAACAAAAGCAGTTCTATGAGGAAAATTCATAGCAGTGAATGCCGACATTAGGACAACAGAGAGAACTCAGTGAAATAACCTAATTCAGAACCTCAAGCTCCTAGAAAAAGAAGAGCATAACAAACACAAAGCTTGTACAAGAGAGGAAATTATAAAGATCAGAGCAGAAATCAATGCTATGGAGACTAAGAGAATGATACAAAAATTAATGAATCAAAGAGCTGGTTTTTTGAAAGAATAAATAAAATCAATAAACCTTTAGCCAACCTTATCAAAAAAAGGAAAGGCTCAAATCCATGCAAATAAGAACGAAAAAGGTGAAGTCACAACAGATCCAGCAGAAATCCAGAGGATCATCAATACCTACTTTGAGAACTGGTATGCTAATAAAATGGAAAACACAGAAGAAATGGACAGATTCCTAGATATATATAATTGCCAAAGTTAAATGAAGAAGATACAGAAATTCTAAACACCCCAATTACAATGAGTGAAATTGAAAATGTAATAAAAAATTTACCAACTAAGAAAAGCCCAGGTCCTGATGGCTTCAATGCTGAATTCTGCAAGACATTTAAAGAAGAACTAATGCCATTACT